TTTCGTTTCTTATAGGTATTTTAAAAACTTTGTAATTCTAAATGATGTTTAGGTGTTTGATGGGTGCTGTCACACCATCTATTAATTTTATTTTTAAATGGCTCCGGTATGTTTTTGACATATATTCTTTAATGTTTTACTTATGTTCTGGGTGTTTAAATAAGTAATATTGTGTTTATAATAGATAAAAATGTAAATAATACGTGTTCTTCATTATCATGTACATTAAAAAGTACAAAACCAGTACAGAACAATAATGTAAGTTGATTAGAATGAGCCAATGTAACATACGACAGACTTGCTAAGTAGTGATATATATTTTTAGCGTATATGGGGCCATTACATGCTTCTAGAGATGGGTCATGGATAAATATCATTGGGATAAATACTCAGGATAAATATCCATTTTTCATCGATATTTATCCAAAATCGTGGATATGTTTAATCGTGGTTTATTGTTTATATTTAGTAAAACAAAATATATTTTTAAAACACTTTGTGTACCGACGCAAACACATAGAAAAATTCATGAGGTCCGCTGGTTCGTTCCGTGGCTTAGTTGGTACAGCGTTTGACACGGTAAGCTAGAAGACGTCGGTTCGAATCCGGCCGCATCGAAGGAATATTTTCTGAGTGTTCGATCTTTGTATCAATAATTATAACAAACTATATAAATAATTGAATATCAATGTAATAAAAAAATGTAAATTTTTTCTTCACCTGTAAAGTTGTCGAAATTGAGACAGTACGGATTGCCAGTTCACAGTCGATTTGCGAAAGTATGTTTATTATCAAACTTTCGTGTCGCGACGGGTAGCATAAAATGTAGAAAATTACTTTAAATACGATAGTCATTTTATAAGTAGAATAAGTTAGCCAGTGAAATGAAGTGAACTAGAATTTTGTGTTGAAATCATTGACTTACAAATAAATGGACGACGGGTCTAATACAAAAACCACGAAAAAAATGTCCCAAGTCAACCTATTTAAACGTAGTGACATGTAAAGGAATATGAAAAAGCTAAAACGTTGGATTTAAATTGTAATGTCATCGCAGTACTGTCTAATTTTGCTTGCTTCGCTGTCAGTCGAACAAACGAATACTAAAGCGTGAATGACGCTCTGTATACGATTTTAACGCCCTATAAGTTCGGACACTTTTTAGCGCGGACCCGACGTCCATATAATTGTAAGTCAATGATTGAAATGGCGCCTTATTAACGGAATAAGACTTTTGTTTTAATTTTTTTTTGCTTTGGCTTTACTAAGGAAAATTTTCACGCCTAGCCACTGATGTCCAAGAGTATACATACAATTTAACACACAATCACAAAACTTTTTTTTTTTTATAACATCAAGTGACGGCACGAACAAGTCGTGCGCCTGATGGTCAGCTACACGCCTGTCCATAACAGGTGCAGTGCCACTCAAAGCTTTAAATCGCAAAGATCTGAGGGGCACTGCCACTGCGCCCGTCACCCTGAGACGTAAGTTGACACGTTCCATGTGCCTGTAATATCACCAATTTTCCCAAATATAAATAAAATGTGACAAAATACATTAATTTTCGGATTTCAGACAGAGGTATTATCCGTTCTATGTGTATTATTGCTTCCTTGAAATTTACCTATATTCTGTCTATTACGATATCTGATGTTCAATTCAATGACATAAAGCACGAATAATAAAATCACCGCCCCACTATAATTACGAGCTATCGTCGGCACCATCACATCGCAGCGGAGAGTTATTAATATTGACACCATATTAAATGCACGACAAATTTGTATCTGCACTAGTAAGAGTATGCGACTTTGCGCGGTTATAAATTAATTATAACAGGTTTTTATTTACATGACTGACATTTTTTAACTGACTTCAAAAAAGGAGGAGATTTTCAATTCGACAGTATGTTTTTTGAACTGATTTCGATGATTATTTTTTGTTGGAAAGAGGGTACCTCAGCGTTGGTCACATTTAAATTTGAAGAAAATATACCACCTCTAAGGGTGACAAACTAGGGGATGAATCTGGTCTCCTTGGTCTCCTGGCAAATAGATTTAATTCCACAAACTTTTGAGGTCGTTTTTTTATATTAAAGTTATTATTATTATTTTTTAGAATTATTTTCGTGTACGTAAAGAAAGATGCAGTGATCACAAACTTTTCTTCAGATAACGAATTATAGTAAAGGCATGCTGTTATGTTTCTACGCGCCGAAACCGCTGAACCAAATACGAAGAATTTTGGAATAGAGGTACATGGGACCTAGAAGAAGGACTCAGGCTACTTTTTGTTACAAAAATAAATCTCAAAGGAGTGAAATAGGGGATGAAAATTCGTATGGAGCATCAATCATTTCCATGTAAGTAGTACAGTAGGTTACTCGAAGTACATATTCTACGCAGACGAAGTAGCGTAGTAATAATACGTGTTTCATAAAGTAGCTGGTGAAATTAATTTTAAAATAAAGCCAGTTTCCCTGCTGCTCGAGCTCGACCCAAGCAAATTGAACCGTATTAGTGTGGGAAAAATTTTAATTCAAGCTATTATTATAGGTATTATCGACTCTAATAGAGTATATAAAGTCAGAAAGCATTCATTTAATCTTTAGTGAACACTACGAATAAAAAAACGTAATAGTTACAGAAATTTAGTGAATATGTTTGAGAATTTTATTTCCCAGTATTCATTAAATTGCTTTGCTTACAAAATGACGGAATGAAATGGCGTCTGATAAAATACCATACATTTTTTTATTTAATAAACCAGTATACACATGGCGTATTAACAAGTAAAGAGAGGAATAATCTCAGTACAGAGTACTAAAAAACCGACCTCAAAAGTAAGTGGAATTACGTCTATTTGCTAAGTTTTACTGAAATATCCCCTAGTTCGCCACTATACAGGACTTGACACTGAAGATAATAAAAATAGGTTCTCACTACGACACTACTCAAAGTATATCGAGAGAAAAACGCCTTGAATTGGAGAAATAGCAAAATCAACTAAATGATTGCTAAAAGTAATTGCTCCTAAATTAAAGTTAGGCGCTATTTATGAAAATGAATCTTCATGCGCGAACAGCCACCCTTCGAGATGGATGCTTTTCTTCAAAATGAAATGGACCACTATGGAAGTACCCCCTTTCCAACAAAAAAAGAGTCATGAAAATCGATTCACAAATACCGGAGTTATCGCGTAACATACATACAAAAAAAAAGAACATACTGACGAATTGAGAACCTCCTCCTTTTTTGAAGTCGGTTAAAAAGAAAAATATAAATAAGTTAATTTATATGAAATATTCATACACAAACAGTCTTTATTTCTTGCTTTATTAATGATATTGATGTGATTTTATTTTAATACCGTGTTTACACATTCGCGCAAACGAGCAAGCGAGCGTCGAAAGTTAACCAGACTTTTAGCTTGAGGTGAACTTTTTGTTTATTATTCTCAAGTCACGAGACCAAAAAGTCGTGATGATAAGTTGATACTGCGTTCCGGTTTTGAAGGGTGCTGGTGAAATTACAGGCATACGAGTATGTGACGTGTTAACTTATGTCTCAGGGTGACAGGCGCAGTGGCAGCCTTAGATGTTTGCCGTGGTGTCGCTTACTTATCATAAAAAAATTTTTCGTCACTGTTCGTGCTCAAGTTTGGTAGACGAAGGGAACGCGAATGATTAGCTGACGAACTTGTTGTTTACAATGCGCTCTCGATCCCTTCGTAGAGAGACGTAAACGTCGTCTATCATAGCAAGCTAACGTAGTAGTGAAGACAAGCGGATGAATTGAACGGATTAATGCCCCAAATCGATGGCAAAAACTATTTACAATTAAATATTATTTTGTTGTGAATCGAGATTTGCATTTATTGATATTATAACAAAATATTTATTGCTTTCTGATCTAGACATTCCATTTGCCTTTCTATTGAATCCATTCGCTTGAAAATGGCATTGAAATAAATCGATACAAAAATCGTCAGATTGTTTGTATGTACTTAAATCGATCTTCATAAAAATCGATTCGAACCCTAATGTGCATCCTTAGTAGTGAGCATCTACAGGATTGCAGGGTAATACGTAGAGTTGCCTCTTTAAAAAAGATTTTCTACGTATAAATTTGTAGCAGGTAAGTAAGAAATTATATATGTTTTGGACAGAAATGGGTTAGAACGCGGTACATTGGGTAAAAATCCGGTTAAAACCTGGGTGCGTTAATTGGGTTTTACCGCTGCCCATCTCTATACACGAATGTTTCGTTGAGTGGCGAATGCGATTATGTGAGTGTGGTATAACAGATTTTATTGAACATGGTAATGAGTTTACGGCAACGGGGCAGTGTCACGAACTGACAATTTGCGTTGCTCATAACTTGTCTATTAGTTGAATTTTGTTTGTGAACTGATACGCTCATTGTTCGGCAGTGGATTCATTACGTTCACGAATTAAAATTAAATGGAAAAATCTATAGCCCTTTATTACATCATACAAAATTATATAATTAAGATTAGATTGTGTGGATGTCCGACAATAAAATTTAATACCAGTAGAGCTCCTTGTGAAAGCTTGTGTGAGCCTTACTGCGTTCTGGCTTTGAAGGAGTAAGGGTGCTGGTGAAATTAGAGGCATATTAGACTTGTCAACTGAGTCTCAAGATCGTTATCTTGCGCAGCGGCAGTTCCTTGTGTAGCTCTGAGTGGAACTGCAACTTTTATGGACAAGCGTGTCCCTTACCATCAGGTGCACGACGACACGTACAAGAAAACAATTACTTTTTTCGTTAAAGGGCATTTTCATTATTATTAAGCATAGCCACCTAGCTACCTACTTTTCGAATTGTGATACATAGTCGTCATCAAATAAACGCTCTTTGCTACTACATAGATTTCCCATTATATACTTCCTGGGGCTATAGACTTTTCGTTAAAACATTAATACCAACACACTGTACAATAAGCATATTAAAATTTGTCTTGTTTTTCTCTTTCAGTTTCGAAAATGTTTTTTCAACGTACATTGAAAGTCCAGCATCAGTCACCAAAACGTTACATTCCACACCAACCACCGAATCAGAGACCCGTAAAAGATTTCATAAAGGACAAAGTCAAGAGTTACATTGTACTGTTTCTTGAAACTTCTTCGATACATGGCTTAAACCATCTAATTGCTCCTGGACGACATTGGTTTGAAATGTAAGTTATGGTGTTGTTCATAAAACTTCATTTTAAAATATTTCATAAATATTTAACGTTATACAACTTAACGTCAGGAAAATCAAGCTTGTGTACTGCGGCCATACCTATTTCTGCCGCTAAGCTGTAACGTGAGTGAGAGATTGCTGGTGAAACTAGGTCCTTGGGATTTGTCAAATTATGTCTCAAGTTGATAGGCGCAGTGGCAGTGTCCATCAGACCTTTGTGATTTAAAGCTCTGAGTGGCGTGTCGCTTACCATCAGGCGCACCATTTGTTCACCCCGTCACTTGGTATCATAAAACAACTATTTCATTATGACACATGTATATAACATTTTCAGATTTCTCTGGATGACCTGCTTGTGCCTCTCGGTGTTCGGCTCCGTCTACCTCTCTTCCAGCACCTGGACTCGCTACCAATACTCCCCCACAGTCATCTCGATGGACCGGGACATGTTTGCTTGGAATACCACTTTTCCCTGCGTTACTATTTGCCCTTTGAACAAGATTGACACGGGGAAACTCGAGAGTTATCTTGAGTATGCATAATTCTTCATTACAATTCACGTGTAAAACTATAGATGAATATTGGATTTACCAAATTTCTAATAGAGACATTGAAAAGCGATACAAGATGTAAATAATAATATAGGCCCTGTGTGATATGTTGTTCGTAAAATTGTTGCTGAATTGAGACTTGGTTAACGTTTGTATAAAGTAATTTTGATTTGAACATTTAAAAATTTTGCTTTTCTAAAAATTGCTACTTCCGACATTGGGTTACCACTCTGTGAAATATTTTTTGTCAAATTCATCACAATTTAAATATTTAATAACATTTTCATTATCATTGTTAAATTTAGGTCTACTTCGCAACCAGATAAGGAGGCCCTCAGTAACTTCATTTACAAACTTGCAAATGCCACTTATCAAAATTTCGAAGACGTTCCCCAATACGATGGTATTGACCCCACCGCGTACACAGATCTTTTACTGCAGCTCTCGAGACCGTTTAAACCAACGCTTACCATCGGTGCTTCGGGAATTACCTTGAATATCATGCCAACTATCACAGAAATGGGGTTGTGCTATACTATTAATTCAAAGATGGCTTTTTATAATTCTCCGGAGTAAGTACTTTTTTGTTATGTTTCTATTCGTCTATATTAATAAATCATCAATGTTTTGCAGAAAGGGCGTAAGCGACATTTCGAATAGTTTTTCAGGGAAACATGTTTTAGGTTTTGAAGACTGTTTTAAATATTTAACCCAGTTTTTAAATTAATTTTTGGTTTTAATTAAGTTTAAGTTTGAAAAATATTACCTATAACCTTGTATTATTATTCAATTTTAGGTATAGAGCTGAAAATAGATGGGATATTGTAAAAACTTACAATGACACTTTCTTTGTTCATCCTTTGGACGGTGAAGTGTTCGCTCAAGTAATTAATTTGTCTAACAAGTACGATGTGAGTGTTTCATACGAAGTATAGTGTAGTCATTTTATTGTCTTAATATTCCTTATGCGTGATATTTACCTCATTATTTACAGGTCTACATACATGGGCCACTAGAAGTGCCAGACATTTCAACTAAATGTGAGCATTCAGATGAAGATTTCTACATGAAACTTTATGTCACAGCTCTTTCTGTGTATACTTCACCTGAAGCTGCTAAGTATGCATTATTTTTAATTAGTCATGTCTAAATACATTGCCTTTTCAAAATTGTAATTTATTTGTTCAATGCATTCACCTTCAATGGTTCAATGCTACATTTTACTGTTCGTTTGATAGTTGATAGTGTAATTTGTTTCAATGATTTAATTTCTTGTTTTATAAAACTATCACGCATGTTATTATTTTCTTAGCTTACAATATTTATTCAAAGATAATTTGTATCATCGGCATGTTCTTAATTGACAGATTAAGCATTAACCAAAGGCGCTGCAGGTTCTTCAACGAGAATAACCTACCTCATAACTCCGTGTACACGTACAACATGTGTCGTATGGAGTGTCGGATTCGCCTCTGTTTAAAGTATTGTGGGTGTATTCCGCACTTTTATCGTCGTATTGGTAAGAAATTTTGTTTTATTTTGTACTTTCGTGTTGGTGTCTATTTTCTAACCAATCTTATATGGAAGAGGGTGTTGTAATTTTAATGAAGAGGCGAAATTATGTCTAAGAAGACACTGGATAAATAATGTATTGTGTACCATGGTGCTGGTGAAAGTAGTCGAGGTCAATGATGTGCCACGGTGGTGTAATGTGGAAATTATGAAATTATTGAGTTGTTGCTAGATAACTGATTATATTGTAGTTGGGAAGCATATTTATATAGATTTGATATGTGAGTCTTTACGTTATCTTACAATCTTTCATCATTTTCTCATCTTGCATCAAGATTTGCCATGTCAGAAAAGGATTTGACATTGGCACGTCTGGTGATTGCAATAAGCGTTACTTACTTGTATATTGCCCAATTTCTCTTAAAAGGATGTCAATGCGCGGTCTACTACTAGTGTAGTAGTAACGAGGCATTAGCCTCATCCGATTTGCTGAGTTCAGCTTATGTAAACAAACATTCATTATCAGAAGTTTTTTTTCCATTTCTCAGGTGATGAGAAAGTGTGCAATGTAAAAGATTTACACTGTCTATCTAAATATAAAGGTAAGTAAGTACAGTAATGAGTTCTATCTTTCCTGTTGTATCTTTTGTTTAGAATGATTTCCGAATCGTTTGATTTTGTGTACGCATGTTTCCTTAGCGATGAAACGGAGTAATTTAAAAAAGAAAACGTATTCATTTACGTTCAGATAGGTTAAAATATATTTGAACCCCTGTGGTATCTCATGTAGCTCCGATTTCAGTTACCAAGTTTTACGTTATTGTGAATATTTATTAGTATTACCTCTCACTAATGGTAAAGGAAAACATAGTGCGTGTCGAAAACGATTCATTACCGACCGAAAAAGTGTTGACTTTGTTTTATTTTTACATTTTTAAGGAAACTAACAGCTATGTATAATTAAATACAACAACGAACATAGATGCCCAATTACATGTTACCATTCATAAAGCAACAGTTAAACTTTTGATTAGAACCGTACAAATGTTCAGAACAAATAAAGTCAAAAAGAGACTTTCTTATTTGGATTACCTATTAAGGGAAAGAAATCAAAAATATTAGAGAGTAGTCACTTAAGTTCATCTGGAGAAGTATTGAGAATGTCAATATCATTGCTTTGCTATTCTGTTATAGCACTCACTCACTCGAATGAAGAAGGATTTTCGCCTACAGTTTACTTCTGCCAAAGGAACATGAAGTATGCTAGGATGTCGAAATTAAGCACAGGAACACGGAAATAAATACATTCTAACTCGGTAGCATGGTGGGCTGTGGCCTAGAGACATAATAATGGGCTGGTGATGACGATGCATTTTAATTTCAGATGAATTGTACCAACTTGCTGATAAAACGGGAAAAAAGTTGAACTGTGGATGTTTTCCTAACTGTGACGATGTAAATTATGTTATACAGTCAAGTGTAAGTGTGTAATATTTAAAATTTTAAGTACACCGCTTCCAAGGTGTGGAATGACCTTCCCTGCTTTTGCCAGACTGTCATATTTTCTCACAACGTACTTTCCATAAGGAATGTTTTAACTGGTTCGTGGTGAATCCGACTGGTATTTACGTTAGCACTTTCTTTTGTAACCTCACAAAGTTATCACAGTTTAGAGCGATCCGTCCCTATCTATCTATGTACGGTCCTGTGTGGGGTTCTGGGAACTGGAGAGACGCTTTGGCCTCGAGAGGTGAGCGTGCCTACAGCTCCGCCACCAAAGAGGATATTTGGTAGTGGACTTTAGATCTCAACAGTTTAACGGTGGCAAACGTTAATTGTGCAATGCACAACGGGAAGTGAGTGTGCCTACAGTTTCGGTGACCATCTTGAAAATAGAGAGAATACTGTATGTGGACCCGGGGCCGCTCACCAGAGGCACTAGACTCCTTATGACAATGGTCTGTGACAACTTTGTACGCTGGCTGATCGGGGTCAGGACCCGAACTTAAAAGGCCCCCTTGCTTGCACTGGTTATAGTGCCCTTCCCGCATAACCAACAGTTTGATAGAGAGGCTCGCTGTAATCAAAACACATATCGAAGATACGGGAACTGTTTAGAGCGATCTACTCAAATGTTGTTTTATTTTCGAAGTTGTTAGTACTGTATTTTACAAATAACCGTGTATGATTATAATTTTCCTTTATAATTTAATTTGACTTCGCTAATTACGATCATTCCATGGCGAATTATGCTTTAATTTTAGTAATTCCTAGATGTTTTCAGGTTTTACAAGAATGGTTCTTAGGGACGAACTTGCAGTGGGGAATCGTAACGTATCCAAGGATGCGCTACAGGAGGGACATCATCTTCGGTTTTACAGATGTGCTAGGTAAGTATGGATGACTACTTCTCAGTCTGTTGGAAGATTCAGTTCAAGGTGATGGCAATTTATAGAAAGTAATAACAATATCGGTCGCAGCCGAGGGTATTTCTGTAGTATTTTTTGTGGATGTTTTCCCACATGATATGGGTAATCGACATTACGGGGTGCGGTCTCCATGGAAATAAACCTAGCTAAGATTTGAGGCGGTTGAATTTTGTGACGCGTTGGTTCCAGAATAAAGCTGAGCTGCTTGCTACGGCATCTGTCGTTCGCGGTTCTTGTACTTGAGTCCGTGATCGACGCCGACAATACCGAGGAGTATTGCTACTATCATTCAAATTCATTAAGGCCGTGGGAGAGGCGACAATATTGTCTAAAATAGAGACACGAAATAAAATTTACTTATATTGTACATGTAGGTACAAAACAGGTTAGGCCAAAAGTGGTAAACTTTTATCCTCTAAATTACTTAAAGACTGTATCTGAGCAGTTGGAGATTCTCCAAAAATGCCAAAAAAATAACAAACTGCACTAGGAAACGTTTTGTGCTTACCATTTTGGGACGGTAGCTATTTACTATATTATTGACAATAAGTTAATACAGTTTTAACAGAAAGTATTCAGTTTCTTTATAGTAAAGCGTTAGTAACATTTAGTTAAGTTTTACTTGTTGTAGAATTTGCTTAAAGAATGTTAGTGTAAGCTAAGTACGCAATTGTGTACATGAGAGTGTGTACGATTACGATGTAACTGAGTTCTATAAGTCGTAATTCATGTATTTGTGAAAACACAGGTTGTATAGAAGTTGACATACAAACACAAATTCACTGAGTCCGGCCATACATTTTTAACAGGACGAACAAGTCGTGCTGGTGGAAAGCGTGGAGCTTTCAATCGCAAAGATCTGAGGGGGACTTCCACTGCACCCCGTCACCCTAAGACATAAGTTAGCAAGTCACATGTGCCTGTAATTTCTCCAACACATTACCCTTCAAAACCGGAACACTGTATTGCTCACATTACTGATTGGTGGCAGATATAGAAAGGTGGCAGTACTTCCCTTGACGACCTCTTTCACAGGGAGCTCTACTGCTAAAAACTTGGCATACAAATATATTGAAGGTATATTATATATTTACTCACATACACTTCAACAGACTAAACCAGGTGCAACATTTTTTAATAATGAGCGTGTACATATGGATTTAATAAATCAGTAAGTAATTTAAATGCGGTGATGAAAAATGTAGCACGTTGATGTTTCAGTGGCTGTCGGTGGCATGGCCGGGCTGTTTCTGGGCTGCAGCGTCCTCAGCTTCATGGAGATAGTCTACTTCCTCACTCTTCGTCTTATTTGCTACACTCACTATCAAATTAAGAAGTAAAACGTTTATTTGTTTGAGAGGTTCTAGTCATATGTTTTCACAAAGGCGTCGTGTATCCATCCACATGGACACTGTGTTTATGTGTTTTGCAATTATCGTCAAAAGTATTGTGTAGAAATGAAAATTAAAACGTAAGAGAAAATATTGTTTGTGAAAAATTTTAACGGCGTATTAGATGGAAGGGGTAAAATGGATAGTGGTTTGTTTGGCGAGCTGGTGCTCTCTGAGTCCAGGAGTCAAACGACCAATTCAGTAAAGCACAATTTCATGTGAAGTTGAGAAACATAGCGGTGCGGTAATCGTGATATGGGAACAGGCTAGACACGACTGTCGTCCAACGATAAATAAAACGTTACGACATAATGGGAACGCGCCCTTATATGGAAGCGCGGTACAATATTTGCGTCTACTTCTGATGGGCGCATATTTGCAAAAAGTAGTTCTTTAGTTAGTTCTTACGAACGAAGATTTTAATAAACTAAATTGATTTTGTGCAAAATACTTACAAGTATACATTAAGTATGACAAAATCTTAACATTGTTATAGAGAAATCGCGTATTTTGAGTCAACGACATCTAGCGAGAAACTATGTAACTACTTCAAACTTGTTTCGTAATATTAGTTTTTCTATAGTCCATCTGTTTAGGTCCTTAAATAAATGTAAACAATCTTGAGATGTCCATTTAATGAAATATACATTTATAAAATGATTTTCCCTTCTTCAAATACAAAATACAAATGCTTAGCTTCATATGAAATTGCATGCCTATTTTTATACCTATTGATTTGTAAAGCATGTGTTTCAATAAAAAGATGTATCAAGATTGTTTATATTTGGTTAAGTATCTAAACAAATGGACTATAAGAAAGTTATTGTGTTACAACCATTGACTTACAAATAAATGGACGACGGGTCTAATACAAAAACCACGAAAAAAATGTCCCAAGTCAACCTATTCGACATTTAAATTGTTATGTCATCGCAGTATCGCGCTGTCCGTAGAACAAATGAAGACTAAAGCGGAGTGTCGCGCTCTGTATACGATTTTAGCGCCTTACAAGTGCGGACACTTTTTAGCGCGGACCCGACGTCCATATAATTGTAAGTCAATGGTTACAACAGTTGTTTTTAACAAAAGTACTCACTTCAATTTATTATGTTGACAAAATATTACAATGGAATGAAACTTTAGCGTTGTCAAAACTAATATCTCAACCCGGTTCAAAATTATTCCACTGTTTCAGGTAAATTTAATTTAGGGTTAGGTTAATTGTAAACGACGCACGTAGGGTCGTATTAACACATCGTAAATTCAACCCTTAAGCACCTAGCTAATAATTAAGATCGTAGGGACATTTCAGACCCTTTTGGAATGTTTACCCAATTTGGTAAATTTGGTAAATCTACCTTCAATTGTGGGTCACCTCTGTTAAGCGATAGTTTACCTACGTAATGGCAGGGAAAATTATGCATGTTTGCCTTTGTTATTATCTAATTGTGTATAATTGTTGGAATTTTCCGTGACTATGAATTTTATGAAAACAATGAAATAAAGATAATGGTCTGTTTTAATAATTCATATAATAATTGAGGTGTCCTGACTGATATATGGTTTAATGGTTTTTTGTGTATAATTTATGTCCCATACATCGTAATAATCATGGTGAACCCATTATACGTCCCATTGTTAGGCACCGGTCTCCTCTAAGAAAAGGATTTAGGAAATAATTTGTCATGGCTCAATAATTATTAAATAAAATCGACATAATAAAAATAAGAATAAATCTTTATTGCGGACAACAGGGATCCATGAAGTGTTAGTAACAGAAATAGCTTATAATTAGGTTAGTACTTAAATTCTACTACGGATTTTGTGGTTGTTATTAAATGCCCCATCACGGGGCACTCACTCCTATCCGCGATAGTCTTCAATAGGCCGTTGCTGCTGTCACGTATTCTGTTTAATAAAAACGCCAACTTCTTCCGTAAGAGTGCCAAGAAGCTGTCGACGCGGGCTTCAGCAAAAATGACAGACGCATTGCAAAACTGTGGCAGCCGCAGCAGCGTCCAGAAGGCGTTATTATATTGCGTACGCAGGGCTCTAAACTTTGGGTATAGCTGGCCCATAGCGACAATGCGAGATGGAGACGTCACACGTTATCCAAGGTTTTTCTAACACTGACACTTTACCGTTGGCCGCTGATGACCTTGACAGCGCCATCGGATAAAACATATCCAAGGATTGAGGGTTTTCTTTAATATGCAGGCTTCACCACGACATTTTCTTTCCTCGTTTACGAGACATATCGCTATGAAACATTTATAAAAGTACGTAATTTAGAAATTAAGTCACAGGTATATATGCGTTACAGGGATTCGACCCTTTAAATAGAGAAGCATCCGTTCTCTCTCTAGTCTACCACCGCTCTCGTCTTGTGTACCTGTGACCAACATAACGGTCATTTTAGGATCTTAGTTCGTTCATCATCATTATTATCATCAAGACGTTCATTACTGCACATTTCGTTACCGCCAAAGAATGCCACAATGGCCTGTCCTGTGCCGCTTGCATCCAGCGAATTCTTGCAACCTTCACCAGGGGTTACCTATCAGTGGTCCGAAATGACATTTTCCAGAAATCACGTTTGCTCGAATTTTCATAACCTCGAAAGTAATTTTGAGAGGAAAATGTTTTTTTCTTTTAAACCTAACTTAACCTAATCTAACCGAATTTAATCGTGTCTTTGCGATAAATATCCAACATATCCTGAAACAACAACGGTTTCGGTATAATTCGGGTTTCGGTGTAATGAAAATTCGAATAAACGTTAATTCGGGAAAAAAATTGACTTTATGATAGGTTACCTTCACCAGGTCATTGCAATTCTTGGCTAGGTAAGGGCTATGTCGTTTACTCTGGTTCCCTTGCGGATATCCTCATTACTGATTCGATCTCGCAGTGAAACTCCGAGTATAGCCCTTTCTATTATCCTTTGGGCGACCTTGAGCATTTTTATGAGGCCCATAGTAAGCAACCACGTCTCAGTGCCGTAAGCCATCACTGGCAACACACACTGATCGATGAATTTTGGCAATGTGGTATTTTGGAAGAAGATGTGGCGTAACTTCCGCTGCCCAGCAGAGTCGGATATATTGACCTTTTTCACGAAGTTGGACCTACCTAACTGGATAATTTGTCCCAGGTATAAAATAATCGTCAACAACTTTAAGTGTAGGGTTTCCGATCTTAATGGGAGGATCTTAGTTCGTTATTTACGTATTTTTAAATTGAAATTGTGTATCGCGAGTGAAAAAGATGGATGGAGAAAGAGCGAGAGAACAAAGATAACACGGTGGCGGGCCGCGATTACATACATTCAACTTATTTTTGGGTAAAATAAAAGAAGTGTTTCTCTGTCAAACCTGATTTTATATCAATCGAAAGAAATTCAGCATACATATATTGATATACAAGAAATACATGCATAACAGTGGCAAAAGGTCTATATGAGACTATTCTCATAGACTTGTCTAATAAATTTATTCACCAACTTATTAGGTGTTGAACTGTTGCCCAGCGGCTAGCAATGAGGAGATCGCGGGTTCAATTTTCTTGATGGAAACCAGGTAAAATTACATTATTACTGGTATACAAGTGTTATTTTTATATAACCAATAACTTCACTGTTTTTATAATACCAAGGGAAGGGACGAAGAAGTCGTGGGCGTGGTGGTAAGTGACACGTCTGTCCATAACAATTGCAATGCCACTCAGAGCTCACAAAGATATGAGAGGCATTGCCGTTGTGCCCGTCACCTTGAGACATAAGTTAACAAGTCCCATGTGCCTGTAATTTCACCAGCGCCCTTACCCTTCAAAACCGAAACGCAGTAATGCTCACATTATTGCTTGGCGGACAGGAACTTGACAAGAAGCTCTGCTGTTACTAATATGAATGACATTCATAAATAAGTAGATTCTACAAACAGGAGAGTTGAACGAAATTATATAACGCTTTGAAAACACAGTCTCTAACTCCACACTTCAAATCCGAGCATTGAAACTAAACATCAACAAGCAGGAGTTCCCAAATGATACGAAATAAAATTAACATGACAATCGCATGCGTGCGCGTGCGGCGAGATAAACTCGCGGAGTTATTGTGCAGCCACTTGATGCCCGCAATTATGCTCGCGTAGAGGTAATAAACACCCACCTTGAAGGGAGAGGCTACGAGTGCGATAATCGATATCGAGTGCGACGCACAAAATATCGATAGTACAAGGCCTAAAACAATAATTTAAATATAAAGTGATTTTTGAAAAATAATAATCAATGTTGAGAGTTCTATTTTTGAAAAAAAAAAACAAATCTTTCTTTGATGTTATTTTCGGAAGTACAACAGTAAATTAATGATGGTTTTATGAACCGCCTTTATAAATATTTACTACATTTTTTATAATATGAAGTGGCGGGGCGAACTAGTCGTGCTTCTGGTGGCAAGCGATACGCTTATTCACGTTCGCTGGGCCACTCAGAGCTGTAAGTCGCAAAGATCTGAGAGGTACTACCACTGCGTCCGTTACTCTGAGACGTAAAGGTAACAAGTTCCTTTTGCCTGTAATTATGCGCACATTATATACTGGTATTGAATAACTTTAATGTCAAAATTTGTAATGTTAAAAACATTAAAATATCTATTATTATCAAATTATTGGTTGTACGCCTTTGCATTTCCTCATTTCTGTATTCTAATTTTGTCATTATAATTTGTTAAACGGAATCAATTTTAAATTTGAATTCGAAGTTTCAATAAAGAATATTTTATTAATTCATACATTGAAATATCCATAGTTCCTGTTATAGTTTGAAATTATTACAATATTGTCGATAATAGATTTGTTGACTCACTTTCCCATCTCTAAAAGTTTGAGCTACAGTCTTAGAATTAAATTACACGTCGGCTACGTTAACTCCAAACAATAATCTTTAACATT